CCCCCACCCCCCCTCCGTGGTCTCATCTGCTTTAAAAAGAGGGGGTTTTCGTGTTTTTCTGTACCGCTTTCGGGTCACCTTCCGCAGCGAGGCGGGAAGACGCCCTGAGGAGCACGGGGAGCGGAGCCCCAGCCAGGAGGAGTCGGTGTAGCGCTGTGAAGGTGTCATAAAGAGCAGAGAAAGCGGCTGGGGGTTCCCCGGCGGGACCCGCGGACGGAGAATCCTCTCTCCAGGCGTGGACTTTGTCGGGAAGAGGCCGCGAAGGCTGGGGAGATTTACCATCTCCCCGACATAGCCATTTTGTGCCAAAATGCCTTTATGGTGGGGTTTTTTTTGACTTAAAATCGCCCTCAGTAAGATCGTTTTTAATTGTTAAGTTGCTACAGAGAGCAGCCAACGTTATTTTCCTTTCTATCCCACAGTGAAGTGACAGAGCATCTTTGTCCATGGCAGGTGACTTTAACCAGCGCTGATGTGCCCGGGAGTATGCGTGTGCATGTTCAGTGTCTTTCCAGGCATCTCCTCTGTCCTTCTCAATAGAAGAGATGTTTAAAAGCATATCTCAATTTTGGCCTGTTATTTTTGCCTTAGGAGAGATGGCTAATGTGAGAAGAGAGTGTGTGTGTTGGGGGGGAAATTTAAAAAGAGACACATATCAGTAAAGTGGGAGAATCATTGAGTCTGTTTTGGTTTTCTCATTTGTTAAACAGGTTTATTCACTTTTCTCAAAACATGTTCTAAGGTTTTATACTTTAAATCAGAGACAATTGTAAGATAACATTATCAGTGTGTTTCAAAGGAAGTGGTATACCGTTCTTTTATGTGTAGGGAAGGGGAGGCACGGAGAATTTAGTGGAGTGTCCAGACTGATTCTGCAGAGGATGACAAGACGGGAATGGACTTCTTCATGGGGGCTTAGGCTGGTGAGGCAACCATTAGACAAAGTTGCCTTCTGAGTGGGTTAATGTTTGCAGAATACTGTTTTAAACCATGGTATTACTTTCTGGACGCAAAACGTGAAGCACTGTGGGTGACACTGCAAGAATACTTTTTTTTCCCTTTTAATTATCTTCCATAGTCTGGAGACTCCACAGATCCCTGTCTGTGGCTGCCCTACATATCTTAGGCAGGCCGTATCAGAGCGATCATTAATTAATCCCAGGAAGAAGCATTCATCTGTGCTAGTGAACTAGATCTTCATATTCCAACCTGCTTGCCATCCCAACTGGGCTGCAGGCCACCAAGGAAAATCCAGCGGGCCTCACTGCTCATATGGCTTGCTTGATTTTGGTGTTCTTCCTGGAGAGCTCTATCAAATGATTTTCTTCCCTATCAGCCTAAGTTGCTTGTTTTTTGGAATTTCTCAATACCCATAGAAACACCATAAATAAAGGGCTGAGCACATGAGTTAAGGTTCTATGAGTGATGGGTGGGGGTAGAAAGGGGAAAGGAATAAGATTGGAGTGTAAGGAGGTGAGAAAAGGGGACATCCATTCCTTGGCATTCAATGAAGGGTAGCTCCTTCTGGTACAAAATCTATCCACAAAGAACAGAGCTGAGATAACCAATGCTCACAGATGCTTTCAGCAAGGCAGTGGCTTCTATTCACTGTCGTGTAGCTTGCCTTTGAACCACAGTTTCAAAGTGTGTGGATCAATTGTGTGGATCAATTTTACTCCAGTGGTTGGAATTCAAAATTATTTAAGCTGAAAAGAAGAAAAATCTTATCAACTGAAATCAATTTTAATCTTCTCCTACACTTGTACTTTCTTATTCGCAAGGGAATGTTCATTTTCTTTTATTGGTAGCATTAAAACATGTTGGTCTGTTGCTCCATGCAGCCATAGTGGTAAATTCAGTAAGCAGAAGGCTCTTCTTACATATTTTTGTTATTCTATAAACTTAATGTTCAGATTCTTTATTTTTACATGTTAGGAAATAGTGTCCGATAAGACCGCTGATTTTTTTTTTTTTTTTTTTTTCAGTATGTGTCAGCTTGCATTTGGAAGAAAATAAATATGCATTTAAAGCCTTGGAGTCTTCATTTTTATTTTTTTTTAAGTTAAAAACCATCTGATTTTTTTTTTTCCTTGGTATATATATCACTTAAAACATTAACCATTCAAAAATCAAAATCACATGTTTAGGAAAAAGAATTCATCGGTAGTTTTTTTTCCAGTTGTCAGCTCCTTCAGAGTTGTGGAATTAGCACGTCATTCTTCAACATCTACTTTTTTATTTATAGATTGAAGAGGAAAAACTAGATTTCCTGTTTTCACAGCTCCCAGATTGTGTCTTGGCTTTGAATGAACTAGTTCAATTTGTTGAGATGAATAGGAAACTGCGTTTTCAGAAAAGGCTACTTTTGTCAAAAGCTGATTTTGTGCTTTGCCAGCCTATGGCTCAGCTATTCAGCTGATGACATCTGCCAGTCTAGTACACTGCCATGCTTTAAAAATCCTGGCAGTGATATGTACTGCCTTAATAATTCCTTATAGCCTGCTGTCGTTCAGGGGGTCTGTGCCCTCCCATAGCTCATAATGCATGTCGGCAAGGGGGAAGGTCTCAGAGTGTTTAAATACCAACCTGATGTGAGAAAACAGATGGCTCCAAACAGAAGAGAAACCTCCGCAGGATCCAGACCCTGGGAGAGGTATCCCTGGAGCCAGCAGTCTCGCAAGGAGGTGAGAGCAGAGGGGATTTAATGAAAGGCATCTCAGTGCCAGAAATAAAACCTTAAGGTCAAAGACAATTTCTGACAGAGGGTCTCTGCTAGTTAGCCTTCAGGAAAAAAAGTCAGGCTTGCACTCCAACAGCCTCTGCTTTTCCAGAACCTCATTCTTGTGGATGTTCCATGTTCATATCTTTCTTGTCCTGGGATACCAAATTGCATGAAGTGTGACAACAATAATTTCTCCCCCCCCCCCATACCTATGACAAGAAATGCCTAGATTGAGTGAAAACCAAATGAAAACTGGTGTAGATTTTTGTTTCCTTACCTCTCTGGACCTTTCTGTGGGATTAAGCAAAAGGCCTCTTTGGAAATCCCTGCTACTTTCACTTCCTGTCTGTGCATTTTCTCCTGTGGCTGTTTTTCTTTTTGTCATCTTCACCAGGAGGTGAGAGTCTCTGTTTCGTGGCTTCTGGTTTCCGTGTCAGAATGCCACCTGGTCAGCCCCAACAGATGGTCAGGCTCTCTGGTCAATTCATCTCTTTAGGGACTTCTCCTCTGGAAAGGTACTTTACTCTCAGTGGTATCTCAGGGAATTTCAGTCTAATTAGGAGATAATTAGAATTTTACAACCTTTCATCATTATCCCTAGGAATTTCATTCCAGTGATTAAAAAAAATACAGGAGATGCTAAAGACAGACACCCCACTCAAAGCAGGGTTGGTAGTGGTGCAAGATGTAGAATGTCAGCATCAAACACTTTGAAACTGGTACATAGCCAGATTTTCTAAATAATCACACACCTTGCTAATACCATACTAATGATACCGAAGCATTCACTTGTCTGCAATTGAAAGTGCTGCATTTTTAATACTTTGGCACCATGGATCTGTATCTGCACTTGTACCCAATCAAGAGTCCCCTGAGCCAACTAATACATGATGCTGGAGATACTGTCTAAATATCTTAGATTATATTTACTGTGCAATGCATTAAGTAATCCTGAATCACTCCCAGGGGAATCTTCTGATTCTCTGTCTGTGCAGTTTGGCTCTTCAGGAACTCCTGGGCTGTAGCTGGGCGTAACGCAGAGAAAGCTCTGATCTGAAGCCCCAAAATATCTTGCCCAGATAAAAAACACAGAATGTAGTTTGGTGTCGGTATTTTTCAGATAATCCTTTCCAGACTGGATTTACAATTGACTGTGTTTTCCATTGGGCTGCATGGTTGCAACTTCTTGCTCTCTAATTGCAGGTATTTCTGTGTGGTCTCTCCTCATTTTGTCTGGGTCTCTCCTCGTTTTCTCTGAGTAAAGCACTTGGGTGCTTGATCTTGCCAGCACAGAGCAGGGCGGGAAAGGAGAGGAGACCGAGATGGTCAGGGATCTGAGTATGAAGGGAAGGAAAAAAACCTGAGGTCCTAACAAAGGTCGAAGTTTTTAGTTATTGTAAAGGTCAGGCAGGAGTCTAGCATGCATTAAAACATCCTGGTGAGAGAACTGCATGATTTCCTAAGGAAAGGATACGGAGGTCTTGTGATCTTTCACTGAAATAACCACCTGCCAGCCAGGTGTCTAGCTAGCTAGGACTGTGCTGTCTTGAGTTGGCACGAGTGCTTTACACCCACCACTGGTGCTTCATGGCTCTGTGGTCTTCAGACATAGCAACTCCCGGTGTTTCTTACATGTGTGTGTTTATACACAGTGTAGAAGGGGTTTTCTCTGCCCTCTGGAAAGGGAGGTGAGGGGCTCAAAACTGTTTTCTTGTAGCTTGCTCCATTGTTACTTTTTTTTGAGGCATCTGCTTGGATGTTTAGAGGAAGCACACCACCAGTTTGATGTGTGGAGCAAGCTCCTAGTGCGTATTCCAATCCTGTTTAATATAAAGGCTTCAAACGGAGGATGGATCGGGTATTATACCAATAAAAACAGATGCTACACCTAATCGCAGCCTAAGGACACTACTGTGGAAGCAGGTTGCTGGGCTCAAGTTGGTGGAACCCACTTGGTTCAGCTGTTCCTATAGTACCTTGTAATCCGGCAGTGAGCTGGTGGACAGGGTAGGAATTACAATGGGCACCGGCTGTTTCAAGGTGCAGGATGGCCTGCTTTGGCAAATGCAGAAGTGAGGGGTAGAGCAGGGGAACAGAGAGAGCATGTCTCTGCTTTATCATTGAGATATTTTCCGTACAATATTTAGGGACTTCTGTTGAGTTTATTCAAGATTCATATCTAAACCACTTGGTTTGCTTTGAAGATTTCAAATGATCCTCCATTTCCAAGTCATTCTCCTTTTAAAGCCTTGGCTTTAAAGGCTAATGTGCACATGCCATTCACTGACATTTTTAGCATAGTATGATAAAGAAACAGATCTCATCCCTATGGAGGCAGTGTGAAGCTTTGAGTCCTTTGTCTTTGTTTCTCTTTCTTCTAGGAATCTGGACAAAGAAGTGGGGAGATGAGGGAGAGACAGCAGTTCAGGCTTTTGCACTAAGAAAAGGTAGACCACTACAGATTGGGGGTTTTTAAAAAAATTGGTATGCAAGAAAATCGATTAGGTATTTCATTTAATATAAAGTAAAATTGCACAGCTGTTCTTGTATGCTGTTTTCC